GCTAGCTGGCTGATTTTCCCGTTAGTTGTTGTAGATTCTTCATTATGTTGATGCTCTTTAGTATTTAGTGTGATTTTGGAATGGCTGGTACTGGTTGTTCCTTTCTATGTGTAGTGCCTCTTTCAGGAGCTCTTATACAGCAGGCCTGGTGGTGACAAACTCTCTGAGTACTTGCTTGTTCGCAAAGGATTTTATTTTTCCTTCACTTCTGAAGCTCAGTTTGGCTGGATTTGAAATTCTGGGTTGAAAGTTCTTTTCTTTAAGGATGTTGAATATTGGCCCCCAGTCTCTTCTGGCTTGTAGTGTTTCTGCCAAGAGATCTGCTGTGAGTCTGATGGGCTTCCCTTTGTTGGTGACCTGACCTTTCTCTTTGGCTGCCCTTAGTATTTTCTCCTTTATTTCAACCTTGATGAATCTGACGATTATGTGCCTTGGGGTTTCTCTTCTTGTGGAATATCTTTGTGGTGTTCTATTTCCTGCATTTGAGTGTTGGTCTGTCTTGCTAGGTGGGGAAAATTTTCCTGGACAATCTCCTGAAGAGTATTTTCCACCTTGGATTCATTCTCCTCGTCACATTCTGGTATGCCTATCAAATGTAGGTTAGGTCTCTTCACATAGTCCCACATTTTTTGGAGACTTTTTTCATTCCTTTTTGCACTTTTTTTCTGATTTTGGTTTCTCATGTTATTTCATTGAGTTTATCTTCGACTTCTGATATTCTTTCTTCTGCTTGGTCAATTCGGCTGTTGAAACTTGTGCATGCTTCGTGAAGTTCTTGTGTTTTGTTTTTCAGCCCCTTTAATTCATTCATATTCCTCTCTAAGTTATCCATTCTTGTTATCATTTCCTTGAATCTTTTTTCAAACCTTTTTTCAAGGTTCTTAGTTTCTTTGCATTGATTTAAAACATGTTCTTTTAGCTCACAAAAGTTTCTCATTATCCACCTTCTGAAGTCTAATTCCGTCATTTCATCACAGTCATTCTCCTTTGTTCCCTTGCTGGTGAGGAGTTTTTGCCTTTTCTAGGAGGTGAGGTGTTCTGGTTTCAGGTGTTGTCCTCCTTTTTGCGCTGGTTTCTTCCCATCTTTGTGGATTTATCCACCTGTCGTTTGAGTAGTTGCTGACTTTTTGATTGGGTCTCTGAGTGGACGCCCTGTTTGTTAATGATGAAGTATTTCTGTTACTTGATTTTTCTTCTACCAGTCTAGCCCCTCCACTGTATGATTGCTGAGGTCCACTCCAGTCCCTGCTTGTCTGGGGTGCACCTATAGCAGCTGCGGAACAGTGAGGGATGCTACCAGTTTCTTTTTCTGCTATATTTGTCTGAGAATGATGCCTGCCAAATGTCAGTCTTTTGGATATAGAGGGGTCAGGGAGCTGCTTGAGGAAAGAGTCTGTATTTTATAGGAGCTCAAGTGCTGAGCTGTGAGCTCTGTTGTTCATTCAGGGCTGTCAGGCTGGTACATTTAATTCTGCTGCAGCAGAACTCTTTTAAAAAAAAACCTTTTTTTCTCAGATGCTCTGTCTCAGGGGTTTGGGCTTTCTTTGTGAGTGTCCGTTGTGCTGTCCTGCCCAGCTAGGAGACAGTCTAGTCACTATTTGCCTGCTGAGGCTCTGCCCTGCTGGTGTGAGGTTTGCCCTGTTGCTGCAGGCTCTGCCCTGCTGCTGCAGTCTCCACCCTGCTGCCATGGGCTATGCCCTGTGGCAGAGTCTCTCTGTTGTGATGGGTTGCCTTGGCAACAGCAGGCTGCATCAGCAGTGGGCGTGTACCTCAGTAGGGGCAGGTTGCCTCAATAATGGCTGATGCCCCTCCCCCACGGAGCTGCACCGTCCTGGGTTCAGCTGTGCCTGCAGTGAAACTCTCCAACCAGAGCATTTGGAATCGCCGTTTTGTTTGTCCCACTGCACTACCCCAAACGCTGTTTCCCTGGAATCTCCTGGCCTGGCTCACTGTCCATGTCCTGTTCGGTCAGGTAGATATTCCAATCTGCCCTCTCAAGTCTCAGATTGCTGGTTCAACAGGGCACCCAGACCAGTGTGCTTTGTGCGGAGCGCTGTGGAGCACTGCTGCACTACAGCGCCGGCCGCCGGCTGCACCAGCCAAAACCTCTGCCTGGCATCCTGCGTCTCTTTTATACCTGGGAATTTCCCCGTTCTGTGGGCAACAAAGATCCATCTGGAAATGCGGCCCTGACTCACCCTCTGCACATTCACTGAGAGCTTCAATCCTGGGTTGTTCTCACCGTGCCATCTTGAGTCCCTCCTTTGGTATTGCTTTTAAAATTAGGAATAGCATAAACTTTTGCTCTCACCAGTTCTATTTAACATTGTACCAGATAAATATGCAAAAATGAATTGTATTCTGTGTACAGCAACACAAAAATTAGAAATTAAATTTTAAAATGATACTCTTCATAATAGTCTGGAAATGTGAAATACTTGGAGGTAAATCTGAAAAACGTAACATGAAAAATGTTCTCACTAAAAACTAGATCATTGATAGAAAAGAGTACCTAAAGGAAGGGAGAGACATACTGTATTCATGCATCAGTCAATATTGCTAAGATGTCAACTCTCCCAAATTGTTTTTTAAACACAATACATATTTCCTGCAATTCCAGTATAATTCTTGTAGAAGTTTACGAAGTCATTCTTAAACTCATACGCAAAAGACCAAAGAAACTTAAAAAAAAAAAAAAAGAACAAAGTTAGAGGACTAACAGGACGTTATTTCAGAATTTACTGTAAAGCTACAGTAATCAAGACTGTGTAGTACTAGAGCCAAGAGAGACAAATATTTCAATAGAACAGAATAAAATAGCCAGAAATAGACCCACACATATATAGTTTACTGATCTTCAGTAAATATGCAAAGACAACGTAATGGAGAAACATATAGACTTTTCAAGATATGGCTTTTGAACAATCATGAAGAAAGGAAGGAAGGAAGGAGAAAGAAAAGAAAAGAAAAAAGAAAGAAGGAACAGAAGAAGAAGGAAGGAACAGAGGAAGGAAGGAAAGAGAGGACAAAAGAAAAGAAGGAATAAGTGAAAGGAGACAAGAGAAGAGGAAAAGAATTGATCCAGACCTCACATCAGTACAAAAGTTAACTCAAAATTGATCATAAATCTAAATATAAAACTAAAATATTTCTAGAATTAAAAACAAAAGTAAAAACATGACATTAAGCTATCAAAATATTTCTTAGCTATAACAACAATAGCTCTACTAGTTAAAGAAATATATAGTAAAGTAGATTTTATTAAAATTAAAACTTTTGGCTTTTAGAAAGACATTGCTGTGAAGCTAAAACATAGACTGCAACTTGGAAAAAATACTTGCAAGTCATAGCAAGTCATATATCCAATAAAGAACCTGTATTTAGAATACAGAAAAGAAACTTCAAAACTCAATGATAAAACAAACAATAAAAATTCTAAAAATGGCAAAGAATTTAAACTGACCCTTCACCAAGAAAGACATATGAGGAGAAATAAGCACACACAAAAAAGTTTATATAATTAGTCGTTAGAGAAATACAATTTAAACCATAATGGGGTACCATTAGAACATCTGAAATTAAAAGACTTAACTCATTTTTGACAACGGAGCCAAGAAATACGTATTTCATGGTTCTGTACTTCCACTTATTTTTATAAAACATCATAAAAACCCCCTTTTTGAGCCAATGCAATTAACCAGTGACTTGAAAAGAGATTTTCTCTTAATACAATCTAGATCTTTACATATTATAGCATTAATATGCAGTACTAATTACTAACCATTGAGATAGTCATAACCTGAGTGCAAAACCAAATATCTAACTTACCACACCAAGGACTACTAATGAATCAGTTTCATCTTCAGTTATTAAATACAAATATCTTTTGTATAAAAATAACAGTCATGTTTTAAAACACTTAAAACATTATTAGATCAAGAAAAAGTATATAGAGGCCGGGCGCAGTGGCTCACACACTGTAATCCCAGCACTTTGTGAGGCTAAGGCAGGCGGATTATGAGGTCAAGAGATCAAGACCATCCGGCCAACATGGTGAAAACCCATCCCTACTAAAAATACAAAAATTAGCTGGATGTGGTGGTGTGCGCCTGCAGTCCCAGCTACTCTGGAGGCTGAGGCAGGAGAATCACTTGAACCCAGGAGACGGAGGTTGCAGAGAGCCAAGATCGCGCCACCGTACTCCAGCCTGGCAACAGAGCAAGACTCCATCTCATATGAAAAAAAGAAGTACATAGAAATTCCAACATAGGCAATTTAACTTACACTAAAGATGACAGCAGACTTTGACCCTATTTTAACTCTATTAAGTGGCTAGTGAGTGTAAAACACTGAAAGGCACATCATTATGTTAAAATTAGAACAACTAAGAGATATGGCTATAAAGAAAAATCCTAATCCAAGTAACTGGGAAAAATTCATATTTTACCTTATTTTTATATCTAGTCATTGGCTCAAAATTATTTGTTTCCATTCAGTAGTCTTTGTAAAATTTCATTTGTTATGCTTATTCAGAAAACATGTTTAAATTCCAAATCTGTTATAAATAATGTTTATAACATGCATGTATGATGTCATTACCTATATCCATTTGCATTGGCCCATCAAAATAAATTAGTATTTAAGGGCATTGGTGAAAAATAATTTGTCACTATATGGGTCATTTCTCTTATTATTAATAATAATAACTGACATTTATATAACACCATTTTAGAGCAATTTCATATCGAGTCTCCAAATATTTATTCATTAATATTTCAAATATTTCTATGTATTATTTGGCAAACATTAATCTCCATTTTACCAACTTTTAAAGCAAAGCTGTAGCTCATAAAATGACATGAACCTAGTCACTCTATGTTTTGTAACTTACAGTCTATGCCTATCTGCCCAGAAGAAAAAAAATATATACGTCCAACATGAGTTAGTTTAGCTATCATAGTAGTGAAATATCTAATTGGCACTTTGTTCTTTATTCCCACCTTTTTATATGCGATCCAGTCAAACACCCTGTCAATATCAGTTGCCTGTAGCACTTCCTGTGATACTGGATGGGAACTGGCCAAACCGTCTAGCAGCATCACTTCATGCAGAACATCAGTCAGAAACCTCTGTTTTTCCTGCAATACAGTAGACAGGGTAATATCATAGGTGATTCATGGTTAGACAGAATGTGTATCATGACATGAACATAACGTGTGTCACTTAATTGCTGATGTTCATCAGTCTTGCATGGCATGACTCACCTCTAAAGAGAACCCAGTAAAAAATGCCCCTTAAGTTACTCTAAAACTGAGGTGGTTGACTTGAACACAACATGAAATAGAATCAATGGACTACATTGGTTCCTAAATACATAAAAAGAGTGGACTCTGTGTTTTAACAGTGGCTAAAGCAAATTTGGACAATGGGCAGGCACATAGTAACAATGATAAGATGAAGGCTTATTTGTGCATGTTACAAGGTAAACACTGTAACTCCAGTCCCAAATCTTTTAGATAAGTTCAGTATAAGAAATATTAGCCATCTGTTATTCATACCATGGATTTCTAGTACCATTTGAACGACTCTTTCTTGTTTTCTCTGTCCTTCCCTCTTTTCCTGCCCTTTTCACACACTCACACAAAACACACACACACACACACACACACACACACACATTTATTTTCTGAAAAATTTCAAGAGACCACAACAAGTAATAAAAGGCACTCTTCACATCAAGCTAAAATATTGGTGGATGTATTTGTGAATTCAAAATAGTGGAGATGAAGTGGAGACCAATAGGTATTAATAATCTATTACCATGAAGTGAAAACAGAAAAATCATGAGACTTCAATTCTCTGCCTGTTGAGACATTAGTATTTGCTCTGGTAAAAGCTGATTTGCTATGTTAAAAAATACACTATGAAGAAAAACACTTCTCTTTTTTTTTTCTTAAAAGTTTTCTTTAAAGCAACAGCTAGTATTTCATTAATAGAAATGTTGGCAGCTAGTAGTCCTCCTGGCCTCCTGCCTTCATTGAAGGAGGATAGTAAGAAAAAAGAAACTGCAAAATATAACAAGGGCTAAATAGCCCCTAGATAGTTGTGACCTGAGGAGTATCATTACAGAGATTAAGACTCCAATGCCCCCAAAACCTAAAATGCAATTAAAAAAAAAAAGACTCCAATGCTTAAATTGCTCTAGCTAATTCTAAACTCACTCCTGGAGTCTCCTAGATTTGAGCTCAGCAGATAAACAGCATGTTATTTCTGAGTGAGTCATAACTTCAAACTGAGAGTACACCTATCCTGGATGTAAGGAAATGGAAATGGAGAAAAAATATGCCAAGAAAAGAATTGTTAACTGGACATATATGTGTGTGTGATAAATTAAATCTGGCTTTAAAGAAGAATTTTTTTCATCCTCATTTGCTCAATAATTTAGTGTGTTTAATTGATACTTTATTTAGGCATCCAACTATATACTGTGAGGTTTGTTTTCTAATAGGTTATGTTTTATAGTCTATGGTCCATATATTTAACTTCTTCAGTCCTCTTTTTCTCTAAGAGTTTCACAGCGATGGTCTTTGCTCTATCCAAGAGGACTATATGTAACCACTGAATCAAATCACGCTTTGATTCCCAGAGGGCTGTTCTCAACCCTGAGGCCACAGATGAAAAGTTCAAACTTAGACTGAATTAAGTGAATTAATTGACAAATACTACATAATACTGTATTTCTTCTCAAACTAATTTTCTAGAGAGTAGAATTAAATCTTACGCTTCAAAATTTTAAGAATAATAAGAGTAGTAGTCACAATGTTCATTTAAGTCCACTCAAAAGCAGTAAGATCTCAGAAAAATAGCCTAGACTTACAGAATAAGAAAAAATTAAGTGTCAATTTCAGAAAAAAACAATTTAATGTTACTTTTAAGCAGATATACAATCTTGTTATTCATTCAATTTTAAAATGTAGATGAAAACTATCTGACATTAGAACTAATGGGAGAAATTATGAAATTATAATTACTCTTCAACTTGACCAATGAACACTTTTGTTTATAAGAAATACCAATTGAAGCTATGATTCCATTCTGAATATAACATAATATTTAGCTATTTAAACAGCAATTACCACCTTTATTACAAATCACTTAAGCACCTGATCTAAAACAACCAGGCAAAGTGAACTTAAAATGATGTTTTATTTAAATCTTCATCTTAATATTTAATAACAATAAATATTGATAAATATTAAAATTTACTAAACATACCTTGCTTTGTTAGAGATGTAATTTTTTAAATGGTATAAAGTAAATGGCTATGTAATTTTAAAAATAAAATCTACAGTAAATTCCAAAGAGGAAATTTTCCTGTTAAAAGAAATATGAATTATATATTATATATTGCCTCATACTTCTGGAGAAAAACAAAAACAAACCTTGCCTAGTCAGTAGAATTTAAATAAGCAGTGTTTAAGTTTTGTAGTGTTAAATCATTAGCAAAAGATTCATCTGTCTGCCTTGCTGGAGAGAATTATATTATGTGATTGAATAAAACAAAAGGCTTATGTGCATAAATGGGTTAAGAAAGAGGGGAAACAAAAAGCCTGGCAGGATAACACTCACAAAGCCTAGAATTTTCTTTTTTCCTCCTCCTTAAATTGAGGAATAATAAGAGTAGTAGTCACAATGTTCATTTAAGTCCACTCAAAAGCAGTAAGATCTCAGAAAAATAGCCTAGACTTACAGAATAAGAAAAAATTAAGTGTCAATTTCCTCCTTAAATTGAGGAGGAAAAAAGAAAATTCTAGTCAGAGACAAACTCAATTTAACTGATTTGCAGAGTTTCCAGCAGAGAAGGTGCTAATTTTGTGTAAAGACCTGTGTCACTATAAAATAAGGAATGATCTTTGCTTGTCAGCCCTGGCAGGAGCTCTGGTCATCATCAAAATCAACAACATCACCAAGATTAAGTATTGGTTAATTGCCTACTGTTTACCTGAAACTATGAAAGCTTAAAAATGAAGTTAAAGAAATCCTAACTTTAATGTGAGATAAGAGATAAAACAAAATAGTTGGCCATAGTGAATGAAATAATCGTTTTATCTTACAGGCTGAATGTGCTAAAATGGTTTTGAGAAAAACAATACTGATATGGTTAGGCTCTGTGTCCCCACTCAGATCTCACCTGGAATTACCATAATCCCTATGTGTCAAGGCAGCACCAGGTGGAGATAATTGAATCATGGGGGCTATTTTCCCCATACTGTTCTCCTGATAGTAAGTAAGTCTCATGAGATCTGATGCTTTTATAAATGGAAATCCGCCGGCCAAGCTCTCATTCTCTTTCTGCCGTGATTGTGAGGCCTCTCCAGCCACGTGAAACTGTAAGTCAATTAAATCTCTGTCTTTCATAAATTACCCAGTCTCACATATGTGTCTACTAGTGGCATGAGAACAGACTAATACAAATACTGTAAAACAGAATGATTTGTGGAATGTTTACTGGAAGAAGTACAATTTGAACTGTCTCTTGAAGGAAATTTGAAGTTTGGTGTGGGTGTGTGGGGGGGGCTGTGTACACATGCGTGTGGAAATAATATATTTGTGGTGAATATTCAATAGGTAGTTATCATTTTACATCCTATTTTAAGGTCATCACCATGTTAAGTTATCTAACACTTTGAAAAAGCAGCATGGTAAGACAAAATGGATAACTTTAAAATCTGTTTAAAAGAAGTTCAGTGTCAGAAGTAACTATAAATTCCACCACTTTAATATAGATACTAGAGTGGTTGAATATGTGCCCACATTTAAATAGTTAAATAATATCAAATATATCATTTTGTGTTCAACTATTTTCAAAAATCTATTGCATTTGAATTTTTGGAGCAGAGTACAAAGGCATTTCAGAAAGTAAAGAAAATGTGAGTAAATGCAGAGTTGAGAATGAACATTATATAAAATAATGCTGCCGTTATTTTATGTATTCCTTCATTCATTTAGCAAATATATATTAAATTACCACTCTATGCCAGATACTGTGCAGCATTTGAAGAATGAATATATAAGCAAAACCCAGTCCTTAACCTTAAATAACTCAAGAGTAGAACAAAAAAAAAATACAGATAAACAGCAAACTGTAATATAATATGATGGATGCTATAAGACAAAGAGGATGAAATGATTAATTAGTTCAGAAAAGGCTTTATGGAGGAGGTGACATTAAAGTGGGTTGTTGAAGGATGAGGATTTACTCAGATAAATGGGGAAACAGCTTAAAAAAGGGCAAATATGGCAGAGAAAACATGAAAAAAAAAAGACACTGCATTCTCAATTATCAGGTTGAAGTTTGGTCTTAATAAATAGGCAGTAGCAGGCATAACAACATAATAAAGGTAGTGGCTTAGGAAAATTAACTTATCTGCAGTACACAGGATTATTTGATGCATGTACAAAGGAAACAGGAAGTGGGATGTAGTGATGATATATTAGAACAAGCTGTTGCTGAAGGACTGTTGGATCTGAGAGATATTTTCAGTGAAAAAAATTCAATCATTGTGATACTTTGATGCCTTCGTTCCCTTAGTAGATGAAGGAGAGGAAATACTCAGAGATAACTACATGGTTCTTAGACTTGGTGAAACTTAAACAAAAATGTGGGAGGAACTATTGACAGAACTGGAGAAGTGAAAAAAAGTTTGGTTTGGAGGGTATGCTAAAAAAAATCAGTTTTAGACATTTTCCAAGGAAAATTAAGGTAAGTATCTAAAAGTAAATGTGCTATAGGCAACTGAAAGTAAAAGCCTGGATCTAAGATAAGACGCAAGTGCTAAAAAATCTTTTGACAATAAATAGTAGTCTATATAGAAATATAAGTGAAATATCACAAAGAATTCACTCTCCTAAAAGTTATTTATTACAATATTAGCATTTCATATACTGACATTCAGCAGCATCTGTGAAGGGAATTATTAATACTTCCCTAATTATCAGAGCATTAGATAACCCTGAGAAATTATGTTTCTTAATGTCTTGTAATGGCTTCTGCCTGAACATGTCAAAGTCTGAGGGTTTAAAAGAGAATATGCGTGGTGTAGCCACAATCACTGGTGATTGATGGGTAAATGGGAAA